TCAAGAATATGTAGTACTGTTTAAAATCTTCGCTCAGGCATAATACTCAATACATAGCTAAACACCCCAAAACTAATAAAAGGATAAAAGGATAAAGCATTATGCCGTTGATCATTTTGGGATGCGGCACGCATTCTACTTCCATTTGTACATTCGTAGTGGCGTTTGAATGCGATGTGGCCTATACAATGACTTGCGGGGCCAGCCGATGTACAAGTCAGTGTTTTTATCCTCCCAGACAAGTCTGGTACCAATTAACCGACCCCGGAGGGATGGAAGGCTTGGTTGGCCCGGGCGACTCACGACCCAGGATTTGATCCCCGGACCGCTCGCGTGGTAAGCGCGCCACTTGTCACTACACCACTTCCGCCCTTTCCCAAAACTAATATTATTTCCATAAATTTTGAAGCATAATCGCACCTGAAGTGCCGAGGTAGGAGACGAATTCTCTCAGAATCTCCCGTGATATCCCCATCTTCGTGTTCGCGTAAGGTTTTAGGTAGAGTTCCTCATAGAGCATGACCATTCTATATTCCACATTTCGAAACTCCACACATACGTAACCGCTAAAGCTGTGCCACATTTGACTGAAAAGCAGTCGCCACCTCAAGAATGAGAAACCAAGCGCTGAGCACTTACGATATGGCCATGATCCCAAAACGTGACTACCACCCTCTGCGTTTTGGGATCTACTTGGGTGTGGTTTTACTGAACAGCAAAGCGACTTTTCGTGTTTCGCAGCGCGAAACTTTTTTCTCTGTGGGAACCTCAGGTCCATCGCTGGTCATCAGTGGACCCGAGGCTCCCGCAGCGAAAAATGTGAAGGCCGAACCGAAGAAGGGAAACTAACCTATTGGCAAGACAGGCAGATCTCCTAAAAGTGCGGGACACGCAATTCGCAGTTCAAAGATATGCCCTGACGTCCTAGCGTGGCCGTCCACGCGACGCTATCGACAAGGCACGCCCACCGGATCACTCCGCTCGCCGCAGGCCTCTAACCGCGCCTTTGGTGAAGAGAGCAATTAAAGTTGAAAGGGCAGCGATGAAAGTGGCAATCAATGCGGGATATCAAACAGGCAGGTCGTAAAGAGAGGTCTCATTTGCCGAAGTTCCTCGGCCGTTTTCTCATTGTTCTCCTCATCGCGGCACCGCTTACCACCTTCACTTTAATTTAATGGGCTGGACGCGATTGGACAGGGTCAGAAACGAGGAGGTCAGAGCGGTCATGCAGACTGCCCCTGTCCAGCTGAAGGTACGGGAACAGCGTCTGCGATGGTATGGGCACGTGCTAAGGAGGCCACAGGACCACCCAATAAGGAAAGCAATGGACTTCGAAGCGCAAGGCAAGCGACCGCGAGGTGCCCCAAAGAAGAGGTGGAAGGACGTAATCAAGAAGGACCTAAGTGAAATCACGGCCACAGCAGAAGATGCCCTAGACAGAGCGAAGTGGCGACGACTGATAAAGACAGCGGACCCTGCGACTGCGCGGGACTAACGCTAGGGAGAAGAAGAAGAAGAAGAAGACCTTTAGAAGCCTGGTCCGCCTTTAAACAAAACAAAAGCAAAAAAGCAAAAGTAGTTCAGAATCGAGAACGCCGACAAGACACACGCCGGTAAACAACTATTTTAAGACAATGAGTGCACGTCGCGCCAGCAGGTTCAACGCAAAGTACGAATACTAGTTGCTTTAAGACTGAACTTCATCACTGAAACAATTGTAAAACAGCCTATTTTAGCTGCTATACCCAGAATGGAAAACAGGTACTCATTACAGATCAATGCTGATTGAAGCTCTGATGGGTGGCGTGGCTTTGGGTGAATGGCGACGATTGCTAAGAAGAAATCCTCGACTACAGTCCTTTCTCTCTTGTTGTTTATCCATCACTCCACGAGCCAACAGTATCCCAGAACGACATAACACAAGCAGCATTCAGGAACACTTCAACCAACTAAAGCAAGCTTGGGAACGGTGATATGGCCTGAGTGCGGGAATAATCTGATCAATTAACGAACAATAATGACAGTTGTGCATGGCAGAGTATTATGGGCTGTCAAGCTGATATAGCGTGTATAAAATTAAGCAGCGTGGACCAGTCTGAGACACGAGGCGAAGGCAATTTCACCTGTGCTCGTACAACACACGTGCCTATTGTAGATAGTTGGTTTCGCCTTCTCCTTCGCTATCGCTTATTCATTTTTTCGGTCCTCGTTACATTTTAACAACAAAGAGTTGTAAAAATTATAGTAAACACCCATGAGGGACACCACTCCATTGTGATCGACCCTGCGCTCCTTTCAAGCATGATTACTATTCCTTACTCTCCCGCACCAATTTTTCGAATACAATTCACCACCCGTTGGTCACATTTAACCATTTTTCCAGCCTCCGGGTTGTTTTGGAACCACATTGAGAGTTTGTCCCTTCCACACCGTACAGATCGTCGCGTGCCCCGCCCACCGTGGGCGGCACTTCACCTAGTTCATGTTTAACCAGATTGGTCTCCCGACAACCGCCGGAAATTCCCTTCCCTGCGAACCTGGCATTCCTTCTCCCCATCCCTCATCCTCCCCTCCTCCCTCCACTGCTCTCCGGCTGCCACTGCACCTTGTGGAATGACCGAGTGTGCTAGTAGGTGTTTATATAGCCGTTCTGGGTTATCACAATCATGCTGCAAAACATTGATAGCGCAAATCCTGCGAGCTACCCGATTTTGTTAGCGGCTTGTTTATTCCATGAGCTTCCTTCTCACTCACTTCATTTTGCGGACGGACACACATACATACAGACATACAAACCGACACACAAAGTTAGCGCTTTATAAAATAGAAGGATATGTACATATTGCACCCCACCCCCCATCCCAAACTGCTGGTGGTAACACACTTAAGGTATCCTCCAGGTAATACCAACGTTCCCGCAACGGAAAATGTTTCGCGCTGCGGAACGCGAAAAAGTCGCTTTCTGTCCTAGTGAACCACACCCTAGAGCGAATTTCGCAGCGCCGCCGCCTCACATTAAATGCGTGGATTTTGAGCTTTAAAAACGCAAAACTGGATGCGACAAAATGTTTCCAATGATATTCGATGTGATCAAACTTATTAGAAGGTATAACTGTAAAAGTTCGATCGAATTGACGTTTTCTGGCAATGAAAAGGCAGTTTCAGTTGCTTTTGCTGTAGTGAACCTCAAAATTATTTTTGACGCGGTTGCTCCACTAAAAACATATGTCTTGCTATATGTGTGGGTCTGTACTTACTTCTACTGCTCTTTTTTATGACATGTTCAAGAGAATATAAAGAAAACGAGGAATGAACCGAATGAAGAACTTGTAGAAGCTTGGAAACCTTCGGTAAAGTAAAGAATATTCAACCATTTGGGCAACCACACCGTTTACGGTCACATTGTGATGTGATCTATAGAATAATGCAAAAATTAGAAAAGAAGTAGCGCATGCGCGAAAAAATAATATTTGTGTGTGCAGCGCATGCGCTGCACACGGTCCCACACGGTGCTCAAGTGTGATGCGCATGCGCTGCACAATGTCGTCAACGTGTTAAGCGTTACTTGAACTATTATATAAACTGAATTTTCAGCTCAACTATAAGCAAAGTTTCTAGCTCGACAATATAATACCGAGATAGCAAATCGCGTACCAATCTAAAAACATGTAGAACGCGCTGTTCTCTAATTTTCTTAACACACACTTTCTCTTGGGATCTTATGGAGTTTTATCTCAGTTACCTTGCCCTAGCTATTAAGAAAAGTCAATCGGTTGTGAATTACGTGATTGCAACTGTGCCATACCTTATTCTGTGATTGACCAATAAATAAATAAATAAAACAAAATAAATAAATCTGACTAACTCGCTTCTACAACTTCAAGCTCATCCGAAGTGCAGCAGAAACGGTTCGGAGCATAACAGTTCCTTCCCTACTGATGTTTATGGTCACTCTACACGTCGATAGCAGAACTACACAACACCATAGCATTCAAGAACATTCAAATCATCTGAAGCAAGCTTGGGAGAAGTGGTATTGGCTTACGATTGAAATTGTGATCGCTTACCTCGAACTAATGCCAGTTGTACGTACCACAGTCACACGTGGGCTGCTCCGTAGCGGCAGGGAGATGGCTGCCACAGATTTCCCTGCAACAATTCTAGAACCATCTCCTGCGAATGGGATGACTTTTCGTGGAAGCGAATAAAGACGGTGTGCAAGTGGCGCTTCGGCGCCTCGGCGTCACCTGCC